TAAATGGATGGACATGGAATCATACTGAGATTGTCCATGCAATCCAAAGATGCTTTAGACACGCCTGTAAAACAGGCCTTAGAGATTTGAAAAGTGTTACACGCCCATCACCACCACCTGTGTTTCAACTTGACTTGTAATTGAGCCATCTCTGGCTGCCTGACACCCCAAACTGTGGGTGGAAAACTGTAACTGAAGGACTGAAATGCTTTTCTTTGAACAGATGGAATTGATCACGAAGACTCGTATCCCCTTCAGGCCTGCCATCAGTCATTTTCTCATGCCTGCTGGGAGGACTGTTGTAGCTGTGGATCACCATGTTCGCAGGCAAGTGAGGACTTTGAAAAACCTCTTGCCCATGGTGCCAAAACAGAGCATTACTCTGCAGAAGCTGTCAGGCAGGATTACTCTTCATCTGCACTACAACTGCACCCCCAAAGTGGCACCTCAGTGGGGAAGGATGCAGTGTTTGACCGGGGTCCCCAAGGTAGATGGCAGTCTTGATTTTGTCATGCAATTGCAAGATATAAATTTAATTGCAGTCTTGATTGTTACCCTGTTTGAAAGGTTTTGGTTGTTTTAAACGTGTCACTTTGAAGCACTGTCTTGATATTTTCCTCAGCCTCATCTCTGAATGTGCCAGGGATGTATCAATACTGGTCAGACAGACAATCACAGCAGTTTTCCAGTCATGCCTGGCGATCACCTTCTGTCCACAACTCATGCCACCCACCACCATTCACAGAAGAAAGGCCCAGGGAACTTGAGACACGCCTTGAAATTTTGCATTCACAGCTCAACAGGTGCATTTGCTACCGTTCACCTTTTGAACTTTGCTACTTCTGAGAAAAAGATACGAGGAGTGACAGTGACTTTGGCTCAAATGTTGCATTGCCTAAATTCCCTTAGTCAATGAATTTTCTGTGTTATCTTAAAATAAGTGATGAGTTAACATTTACATCACCCAAGAATCTTGAAAATTAGCACAAATTCATTTTGCATGTATACATCAGCAACTTGACGAGCCTTGCTGTAAGTAATAGAACCAATGGCTTAGCGAAGGAATCCTGACGTAACCCTGAGCATTACATTTCTACACCTGAACAATTAACATATCTGTAGAGGGTTTCTTTAACAAGCAAAAAATTCAAAAACTATCTATACTATATTCATTTCCATATGAGCATCACTCCAAGCCATACTTTCTTTAGTTCCATCTAAGACTTTGAGCACTTTTTGAATTTTTCTTTGTCAAAATCTGACTTTATGCAAAAAGTTAAATTAAATTCCAGTTTTCATGTCTTGGGTTCAGCACAGAACTCAATTGAAATCAACAGCAGAGGGGAAAATATTCATGGCTCTCCAACGACTTTGTATTATGTAGAAGTCCCTCCTTACTCTTTGTTTGTTACCCCCAAAAACCAAACAACTGGTTAATGAGTATACATTTTCCCCTTGTGACAGGTGGTTACCAGATGGTTGTGGACTGGTCTGTAAGCCCATATGACTAGGCCATTAGCAATCTATTTCCCAGCAACTGCTACCAGCCTCCAGCAACCAATTGCCAACCAGTGGGGGATTACATATTTTCTCTCACAACTGGTGGTTACTAAATGGTTGCAGACCAGTTTCTAGTCCTAGGTGTAATTGAAATCTTAATCACTTGATTCTACTCTATTATCATGATCACTGCATGTTCAAAATGGTGAAAAGTTAATGTCACATGTTTAGTGGTTACATGTCTCCAAAACCTCAGTACAAGCTTGCTATATGTACTTAACTTCTCTACAGCTAACTGAAAATAAGATGCTAAAATCTTCCTGAAACATAGCTAGCATAGCATAGCAACATAGCATTTTGGACAGATAACATCATTTTGTTAGCTTTTCTGTTACATATTGCACAGGCAATAATTTTTCCCTGCAGTGAGGGTAGTTTTCATAGTACGATAAGTTACATTACATTACGTTAGAGTCAAAATTTATCATATTTGGACAAACATTTTGAGCTCTAAGTTATCAGTTTATGCTAGCAAGCTCTAGTAAATTGCAGTTTTGAGACTATATGATAAATTAATGCTAAGTAAAATATAGAGAAAATAATCAAATTGAACTCACCAAAACTAGAATCAGACATCATGGATCTGTTAAGTTATTAATTACATTAACTATCTACACAGCTAGCCATATTACATGCTCTAAAAGGCATCAGCACTACGAACACATTCAACGGGGGCGGATTGTAACTTGGGTATATTCATATTTTAAGAACAGCCAGGAGGCTATTGCAGCCTGCATTGGCAACCACCTGTCAGTCTATGGCATGCCTCTAATTACGCAAACTTTCATTTGGAATAAAGTTTCAAACCAACACGTCAACAAGCAAAATCAGCAGGACGTAAACATGACATTATTTCTGGTGTAAATTTAAGCATGTAACATTTGGGTCTAGACATGCAATTTATTATCACTTTGCTTCATTCTTCTCATACTTCCACCATCTTTTAATTAGTACCTCTTATTTCCTCAGACTGGAGACTCGCATGACAACTGACATCAGTGTTATTCTACAGCTTCTCCAGAGGCAGATGGCCCCTGTACCTCCAGCTTACAGCACTGTATCATCTAGTGCTCTCCATGCTGATTCCCCTGGTCTGTATGGGGCTGGAACTCCAGTGCTGCATAACATGTATCCCATTTCCTCCATACAAATGGACAGCCTAGCACAGACACAGGTATGGTATCAAACCAAAAAAAACATGACAATTCATCAGTTAGGCCAAATATCTGAAAAACACTGTTATATATCTGAAACGCATTTCATCTTCTTTCATCTCAACATTTTGTGCTTATTTACTAAGACCTCGGCTGAGGCAGACCTTAAGCAGACTAGCAAATCCCAGGATTCACTGTCCAGTGGGATCCACGTGACTGCAGCATCTGATGACACCATGTTCATGGCTATCACCCCTGAAACTGACACACATACTGGGCTAACTCCTCAGCTACCCCAGCCATCAGTCAAATCCTCCCTGCTGGACAGTTCCAGGCTGTGTGGTAACCTCCGCTACCCCTCACTACCAGAGAGCCTGGAGATACAATCACGATTGGCAGAAATCCAGAAACACCTCTCGGATCCTGTCCTCCCCATCGTCTGACAGTCAGTGTCACCTACTTCTTAAAGACATTTAGAAGGAGCTCTGTGACCAGTCCATCCGTTTGTCATTGAAGAATTATTTATAATTACACTTTTTACTTTACTATTACTTTGGACATTGGACAGTGTTGAACACAGACAGTGCATGCAGACAAGGATTTTACACACTGCCCAGCCAAAAAACAGCAGTCACCATGTGGATTTACCTAACCAAATACGAAAGACCCTCCCACTGGATTTGGGGTCTAGGTTCGCCAATGTTATGTGCCCAAAAAACGAGGTCAGCTGACTACCTGAATATACAGAATGATTTTTTTTCTCTGATGATGGCACGGGAATATACCAAGATGACAATGCCAGGATTCACCAGGCTCAAAATGAGCGGTTCAGGGAACATGGAGGATAGATTGGCTACCAGAGAGGCAAGACCTTAACCCCAGTGGGAATATTTGGGTGTGCTGGAGAAGACTTTAGCAGTCTGACTCCCCCATCACCCATCATCAATACAATTTGTTGGTGAAAGATTAATGCAATTCTGGATGGAAATGAATAATAATTATCACTTCTTAAAACAATGGGGAAAGTGTTCCATCATCAAAGCTAAAGCCAGCACAATGAAATATTAGCATGTGACTTGTTCTTTGGCTGGGCGGTGTACTTCACACTTGCCTAAAGAAATAAAGTTGAAAACACTTAATTCTTTTGAATGAACAACTAACAGAAAAGTTGTTATATTTTATACAGATAACTGCTAATCCAGAAATGTCACCTCAGCAACCTTAGTGAGTTGCGTCCCTGTTCATGTATGGATCCTGATCTTTTTAAATTCTAAAGAATTCCCCTGCAGACCCATTTACTCTAGCCTGACCCAATGCTGACACTTTGAGTCTACTATGTTTAGTGTAAACATTTAGAGAATTATGTTGGCCAAGATTAATCAGGTTAGGCTTGGGTTTATACACCTGTAGCAATCAGACTGCAAAAATATCCAAATTCAAAGATTAAGAGGTGTGGCTGATAATTTAGTTCACATAAAGTATCTCTAATATAATGCACTGCATTGCATAAACCCGTAAGTAATTTTGATTTTATGTCAGCAACAATAGAAAATAATGAAGAGGGAATAGAGATAAGCTGAATTAAACAGTAGTTACTGACATAGCTAGCATCTTTGATCTTGTACCAGTAACTTCCCTGTAAGAAAGACTAGGTGTTGTCTCTGTGTCCAGACTTTGCACTAATCTAAGCTTATTTCCTGCCAGTTGTACAGACATGAAAACAGTATAAATCTTTACAAAATTACATTTTTAAATTTTGGTTATTGCAGAACTATTTTGAAGACATGTGCTGTGGCACTTGGGAATTGCGTTCTCGTGGATATTTTGGTGGAGTAGTGCAGGCATTAAAGTAACCATTTATAATTCCAATTTCAAAACAGTTGAGGCGATATGTAAAATGTAAATAAAAACAGAATATAAAGGTTTGCAACTCCCATAAAATCTTATTTTACTCACAATGGACTTAGAAAACACAAAACTGAGAACTTTTTATGGACAAAAATGAGGTCATTTGGACTTTGATGGCAGCAACACATTTTGAAAAAAAAAAAGGAAAGGAATGTGGTTACCACTGTGGCGCATCCCCTCGCCCAATGTTTTCAGGTTTTGAAAGGTCTGGACTGAAAGCAGGTCAGTTCAGCACACACTATGCAGTTTAGTATTGATTTTGCTGAAATATGCTAGGGCTTCCTTTGAAGATGATATCTTGAAGGGAGCGCATGTTGCTGTAAAACCTGCATATATGCAGTGATGATGCCTTTCCAGATGTCCTAGCTCCCAGCTTCTTAGGCACTGATGCACCCCCATACCATCGGGATACAGACTTCTGAACTTAGTGTTGAAAACAAGCCACATATTTTAACTTGATCTGACCATCTATTATTAGTCTCTGGCTCTCTTCCCCTCAACCAATTGCAGCAAACGGCTGCCTCTCCCTGACCCTGGTTCTGCCAGAGGGTTCTTCCTGTTAAATGGGGGTTTATCCTTCCCACTGTTGCCAAGTCCTTTCTCAAACGTGGTTATGTGATTGTTGAGATATTCTCTGTATTATTGTAGGGTCTTGGATGGCACCAGCGGTAATTACTGGAAGTGTTCCTGAGCCCTGTTTTTACCTGTTTTAATGTCTTTTAGAGATATATTGTACTGTAGATGATGTGATTTGAAAGTGGGAATTTTACATAGAGGACACTGTTCCAAAATGTATACCGTTTTTGCAGATTACTGAAACTCTGCCTCTCCATTTTCCTCTTGTTACCTGTTGCCAAAAGCAAACGGGATGACACACAGTAAATGGCCTGTATTTGTATAGCGCTTTACTAGTCCCTAAGGACCCCAAAGCACTTTACACATCCAGTCACCCACCCATTTACACACACATTCACACACTGGTGATGGCAAGGTACATTGTAGCCACAGCCACCCTGGGGCGCACTGACAGAGGCGAGGCTGCCGGACACTGACGCCACCGGGCCATCTGACCACCACCAGTAGGCAACGGGTGAAGTGTCAACGACCGAGATTGTCTAAGCCAGGGCTCAAACCGGCAACCTTCCGATTACAAGGCGAACTCCCAACTTTTGAGCCACAATTTCCCCACAGTAGTAAACATGGCCTTGTCCCAGCTGTTTTCAGATGTGTTGCTGGCACTTAATTCAAAATTAACTAATATTTTTCACTAATTAGTAAAATATCTGCTTAAAAATGTGATATATTTTCTATGTTCTACTGTGAAGAAATGTTGGTCACATGGGATTTGGAAATCCTTGCATTCTATATTTGTTCACATATTGTGGAACTGAGGTAGTATTTTCTCTATTTGCGATGCCTCCCAAAGCCGAAACAGTTGCACCAAGACTGACTTCCATTAATCTTTGAGTGCTGTATTTTTTGTCCCTATCACGACATGACGGCTTTCATGAGCTTCTTGCAGTTTCTAAAAATCATACTACACAGATCCTGGATGGTGTTCTTCAGGCAGGGTCTTCTCCTTATGTTACAGTAACCTATCATTTCTAACCGTGGATCTGAACGGCAGATTTCTTATCAAGGTTTTAACAAGTCACTTCTTGCTGAAATATTTTTTTAAACTGTTGTCTAAACATGAAACATCTGTATCGTACTTTAAACTGTGAGGGACTATTTCTGTATAAAATCAATAAATATTGCCATGAATAAAATTACTGGTGCAGTCTGTATTACGGTCAGTTAATACTGCACACTTATTGTTACTGCACAGACTTGTATCACAACAGAGGTTTTCAGTTCACAAATAATTAAATAATATATACGTTAAAGAAAAACCACATTCCACTTTTCAATATGGTTAAAAATAGTTTGCGTCATCAGAAAAAAGTTATTAGAAAATTACATAATGGACTTAAGTGCAAAACGAAATGCACTATTAAGCTAGTTCAACTACACCCTAATAGCTTGAGGCTTTTTGACCCTTTGTAACAGTCTTTCCAAACTTTAGACTTAACCCCCCCCATTTAAAAAAATGCCAGTGTTATCCTGTATGTTGTCACTCAAAGCTTTACAAACATAAGCAAAGAAAAAAAAATGCAAAAAAATCATTTAACAAAGTCCCGTCAGCTCGTAGGTACGCTGAGAATGTTTTTGAGTTGTTTTATGTCTGCCCACTACAGCTCAGACTCTGAGGATTTCCAGGCAGTTGTTGTAGCAGATAGCGATCCAGTCAGGCTGGGTGGAAGCCCACTGGACATTATTGATCTGTCCCTCGGCTGTGTAGACCAGTATGGGGTCATCCGCTACACAGAGGACGAGGAGATGAGATTTCAATCAATTTATCTTATTTAGTCTGGGAGAAAATAATGTGAGTAAACACAACATATTCCTGTTCTGAGTCTGGTAATATCTGCAACCAGGCTTTCCTTTTTTGGCAGGAGGAAAGATGAAAAAAAATCTACCCCAGATAACAGTATGACTTTACTTGATTCTTTCCAACAAGAAATTAGTCAATGAGGTGGAAACCTTCACTAATCTGTTTCTTCTTCCCAAAGTATCACACACTCTGCAAAGTCATTATCTCAAATCCAACCTCTGATTCAGAAGATGTTTTCGCATAAAATACAAAATCTGAGACTTTTGCTGCTCAGCTCGCTCTTAAAGGGCTCCCTCTTGTGTTGAATCTCAGTTACTGCAGTGACATTCACATTTCAGATCAGGGGCGGGCAATTAATTTTTTCAAGGGGCCAAGGGGAAACTAGGGCCATTGTGGAGGGGCGTGCCAATAAGCTGAACTTCTGGTCAAAGTAAATGAAAACGTGAAACAGGCCAACACAGTATCACTATTTAATCAATATGTCTGTGTAGGTTCTCAGTCATCTGGGTCATGGAAAGCTTGAAAAGAAGACAACTGGACATCTTTAAGTTTTCTGAAGACAAAGGATAGTGGACTGTTTGAAAGAAGAAGAAAAAATCCAGCAGTGATACTGACTGAAGTGCTCTGCAAGTCAAAGTCCAACAAACTCTGATTCAGTGCTCTTGCCCTGATGAAGTTAACTATTTTAGTTACAACATCAGCAACATTGTTAATTTTTAGCACTCACTTACACAACACCTGAGTTGTAATACAATGCAAAAGTACCAATTTCAGAATTCATTTTAGTCACTTTATCTTGCTTTCATTTCAAAAGTCAGACATTTTCCCATCAGATCTGAACAGTGCAGTAACTCTAGTCCCTTTCACTGAGTGCATTGTTGCCAGCTCCTCTGTAATCTCGAATGTTACCCCCCTACAAAGGTGAGTAACTGGGCTGTGTTGCTGAAATAAAAAAAAAAATGCATTTACAGTGAAGCTGCATAATAAATAACACAAGTTTAACAATTAAATTTTTATAAAAGAAGAACCCCCTTCAAAATAAAAAGCAACTTGCAAAAAACTGTAAAGCATTATCTGATGGGGAGTTTATCAAAGAGTGTT